ACTGACACATCACATCACAACATCAACACACTCACACTGACAACATCACAACATCACACTGACAACATCACAACATCACACTGACGACAACATCACAACATCACACACTGACAACATCACACTGACAACATCACAACATCACACACTGACGACATCACAAATCACAACATCACACTGACAACATCACACACATCACAACTCACACTGACACATCACAACATCACACTGACAACATCACAAACACATCACACTGACATCAACATCAAACATCACAACTGACAACATCACAACATCACACTGACGACATCACAACATCACAACAAACACACTGACAACATCCCACAACACACATGACAACATCACACTGACAACATCACAACATCACAACATCACACATGACAACATCACAACATCACAACATCACACTGACAACATCACAACATCACACTGACGACATCACAACATCACACTGACAACATCACACTGACAACATAACAACATCACACTGACAATATCAAAACATCACACTGACAACATCACAACATCACAACATCACACTGACGACATCACAACATCACACTGACGACATCACAACATCACACTGACGACATCACAACATCACACTGACGACATCACAACATCACACTGACAACATCACATCACACTGACGACATCACAACATCACACTGACAACATCACAACATCACACTGACAACATCACAACCTCACAACATCACACTGACAACATCACAACATCACAACATCACACTGACGACATCACAACATCACACTGACAACATCACAACAGCACAACATCACACTGACAATATCACAACATCACACTGACGACATCACAACATCACACTGACAACATCACATCACACTGACGACATCACAACATCACACTGACAACATCACAACATCACACTGACAACATCACAACATCACACTGACAACATCATCACACTGACAACATCACAACATCACAACATCACACTCACACTGAAACATCACAACACACCTGACGACATCACAACATCACACACTGACACATCAACACCTCACACTGAAACATCACAACATCACACTGACGACATCACAACAACACTGACACATCAACATCACACTGACACAATCACAACATCACAACATCACACTGACAACATCACAACATCACACTGACAATATCACAACATCACACTGACAACATCACAACATCACACTGACAACATCACAACATCACACTGATGACAACATCCCCACATCACACTGACGACATCACAACATCACACTGACGACATCACAACATCACACTCACACACACTGACGACATCACAACAACACACTGACGACATCACAACATCACACTGACGACATCACAACATCACACTGACGACATCACAACATCACACTGACGACATCACAACATCACACTGACAACATCACAGTGACCAGTGGGGGCTGGTGGTATAATTTTTTGGGGGGGTGCCAAGGCCAAAATTATAAAAATATATTGTAAATATATGCATTATATATAGACTATATAGTATTATAATGAAACAGATAATGACATTCGATCATTTTGGTCACTATTGACTGACCTATCAGAGCACAATGCACAGCCAAGTGCAGTTTAAGTTTACCTAAGTTTACGCAGCAGCACAACCTGCTCACACCCAGCCCCAACAAACACAAGGTAACACAACACGAGGTAACACAGCGCTCACACCCATCCCCAACAACATCAGCAAAACTACAATAAGAGGTATGGTCACAACATGAACACACGGCATCAGCACAGCCCCAGGTCACTTACGCATATTTAACTATAACACTATAAAACTATTTACCTGTGAGGCTCCATCTTCAGATTTGCCCCGAACTAATGAAAACAAGCCTCTTACCTTCTGCAGAGACTGAAGCAGAGGGTTTCCTCTATCCACTGCACTGTCCCATTGGTTCTGTCTCAAAAGTTTATTGTCCACAACGAAGAGATCAAACTGGTCCAAATCCTGGTCCAGTCAGGTCCGTGACGCGAGGTCCAAGAGCCGAGTGCACGAGCTGGTTGTAAAATTGTCTTAAACTCACTTCACACTTAAATCTGAAAGTTACACCAGTCCATATTAACACTAGGACACAGGTGGACTTACGTCCTCTGTGCGCTACGCCCAGTGAAACTTTTACACCGAGAAACAAGCGGGCAGAGGCGGACAGAGCAGCGAACAACGGCCCCACAACAGGTCAACATGTGTGTTCATGTTTATTCAGAACACTCCCACCCTGCGCCCCAAACACGGATTTTAGGGCTAATGTAAAGTAATGGGCACAAGCAACGTCATGACGTCACATTTTCTCCAAACTTCAGGCTCTTATAGAAACGTCCATTAGGTCGCTCTGACTCACCGCACTCATGACACTGACTCAAATGAAGTGATATGAACACATTTAACGTGATCAAAATATGTCTATGCAGATACACGTTCAATTTTAAACACAATATTAAGCATATAGCCAAATACAAAATAAAGACTTTATAATTTTTTTTTCTTCTTTTTTTTGTTCTTAATCTAGATCAAGTTAGGGAGTGCGGCGCTCTTGCGCCCCTATTGACCAGCCGCCACTGACAGTGACAACATCGCACAGACGATGACATTGCTGAGGACGTCACACTGACGTCGTCACATTGACAACATCAGAACATCACACGGACGACATCACACTGGGAGAATTCTGTCCTAAATTTGAGCACACAACTGCAGGTGTGTTTGTGATGAGGAAACTGCATTAGAACACAGATCAGTTATATGTTGCTCTTTAACCCTGTAAAGGGTGAAGCCTCAATCCCTGTGTGCTCAGTGTACACACACACACACACACACACACACACACACACACACACACACACACACACACACACACACACACACAATACACACAGGTACACACAGGTACACACACGTGGACACAGATACACACAGGTGCACACACGTGGACACAGATACACACAGGTACACACACGTGGACACAGATACACACAGGTACACACATGTGGACACAGATACACACAGGTACACACATGTGGACACAGATACACACAGGTGCACACACGTGGACACAGATACACACAGGTACACTCTGGTACACAGGTACACACACATACACACACACACACACAAATACACACAGGTACACACAGGTACACACATGTGGACACAGATACACACAGGTACACTCTGGTACACAGGTACACACACATACACACACACACACACAAATACACACAGGTACACACAGGTACACACATGTGGACACAGATACACACAGGTACACTCTGGTACACAGGTACACACACATACACACATGTGCACACAGATGCACACAGGGACACAGGTGCACACACTTTAGGCACATTGTGTGTGTGTTTCCTGGAGCCGTCAGCTCTGAGCGCTTCATAAAGAGCTTATGTCCAAACCTCACTGTTTTCTTTCATCGTGTTTTCAGGAGGATTAAAACTTGATTTATTCAGCAGAAAAAGACAGATGCAAAAACACACACGAGGGAAACGTGAGTCTGCAGTGTGTTCTCCTTCACACACGACAAGGCTGCACGTCTCTGTGACTGTCTCATTCTGGTCTTTTCATCAGAAAGATCCAAAAGTCAAATCCTTTTTTCTCTCATTTCCATCAGTGACAAGCTTCATTCTTCAACCAGCACAACATCTGGGAGGGCATCTGACACACCACAGCATCTGCAGATTATCCAGACACCTGCCCCTGTCTCACTCTAACACTCAGAGACAGGAGGACGGGAGGGCATCTGACACACAGGAGGAGGGGAGGGCATCTGACACACAGGAGGAGGGGAGGGCATCTGACACACAGGAGGAGGGGAGGGCATCTGACACACAGGAGGAGGGGAGGGCATCTGACACAGGGATAGGAGGTTGTAAGTGTAAAGTGCATTGGTGACACTGGGGTCACTCTCTTCAGTTCTGGCTCTCTGATAAAACACAGGTGTAACACAAGCTACTGAGGGGCTGCTGCCTGCTTGTCTCCATGGAGATGCCATTGCCTTGCCTGCAATGTTCCACAGTGTGGCATTAAACAGGACAAGCCACAGGTGAGATCTGTGGAGAGGAGACTCTGCTCACATGTAGAATCATGTTTTTCCAGGTCATTTTCACCTGTAATTGACTAAATGCAGATAAATGAGTTTAATGCTGTAGTGTGGGACATTCTAGACCAGGGGTGTCAAACTCATTTTGGTTCGGGGGTCGTATCCAACCTACTTTGATCCCAAAGGGGCCGGATCAGAAAACTCATGGCATATAAACCCCAAAAATAACAATAAGTTCAAATATTTGTGCAGAGAAACACAAATCACTCTCATTAAGAAAGGTCATGGTAACGGAGGGAAAAGTAACGAAGGGATAATTGTGCAAGCAAGTAGAAGGTGCAGGATTTTACATCATTTGTCAGTTTTTTTCTTCTGAATACTTTAATCATAGGTAACTATTTCTATAAAATATGTCAGTCCTTCCAAGCTAATTTTTATCATTTTAAATATTAATTTATTTATTTTTTTAAATCCTGTCCCTTCATCAACAGTTCAAAGATGGAATAACACAAGATATGATGAAATACATCCATTTATTTACATGATTTTCAGGTCTTTGACATTTGGGAACTAATTTTTGTTCCATGTTTCATACATGGTCTGTTTAAAATGTATGTAACTTCAGAACCAAAAATGGTACAGAAAAAAGGTCAACAGTTTCATAAACTAGAGTACATATGTATCTGTTGAATACATGTTTATATCAGATGCATTAACTTGAATTTTTGGCCTTGCTGTTTACTTTTGCTTGACCAGGCCCACGTGAAAAACCGAGCCATTTGTAATGGTCGTCAAATCACGTCTTTAGTGATACAGCAGAGGTGTCAAAAGACGTTGTTAGGTTTATCTAAACATTATAAACAAGAAGAAAGACAAGAGATTAATTCAGTTTTACTCATGAGGAGAACGGGCAGAGAGTGGGCATCAAAACCAACAGTCTCCACACGTTCTGATGACTCAAGGCCGTTCTCCTCTTTTTATTTCATTAGGAGGCCCTAGTTACAGAATGATAATTCTCAAGGGGAAGGGGAAACCAGCAAAGACATAATAAGAAACTGATGCAGCTATGCATAGTATAAACACATAAAACATGATTAACAATCAGGAGGTGCCTTAGGTATAGTCAGACACCATCATAACTCTTGCATGTGTGACAGTGGGAGTTGGCTTCATGTGAGGAATCATCTCGAGGTTCACAAGAGCGATAGGTCACTGCACACAGTTGTCAAACACACAGAGGTTATTCAACAAGTGACAAGTGATTGGTACATTATAAATCAAAGAATTGTAGTACATAAATGGTTAACTCATAGGCCTAGAATATCACACAAGTATTTAGCAAATATGGGATAATAAAATTATTCTGACATTTCCCTCCTGTTTATCATATATTTGCTAAAGAAGAATCAATTCGTAACTACTTCTTTCGATTTTCAGTTATGATTTCATAGTCGAGCAATTATATTTTTACACTCGGAGGTAATGTTATTTTAGTCATGTATTTCTGTGTCATGCTCAAATAGAAGTGAGAGAGCCAAGGAGGAGGAGTCCCCACTGTATGAATCATCACCAGCCAACAAATGTGCCTGCACTGCCTTATCGTCAGGATATGGGCAATTGCAGTGGTGATTAGTCTATTAAGTAATTCTCGGATGCAGGGAATACAACAACATCCACACAACGTCAATAAACCGGCGAAAATGGCTATGGAGATCAGCGCAGAGGACACAGTGGACTTGTATTTTCCAAATACATCCATCCAGTCATCCCACATGGACTGGTCAACACCAGACTGCTCTTTAAGGCGCTTGTTAAGGGTCCGTAGGCCTTCAATGGTCCTAGTCAAGCTACCATCAGATGCAGTGTTGTTAGGGATGAAGGTGCAGCACTGGTCACCAAAAATCTCACACACAGATTTCTCAGCGAGGAGCATATCTAATGCGATACGATTTTGGAACATCATCAGAGAAGTTGCTGCTAATTGCTCATGCACTGCCTCAAATCCAGCCTGGGTGTAGTTGCCTAGTTTTTGAACATTATAATGGATGTAGTTAATTCGATCAACATTTTTATTTGGTGTTACTGGAAATATAGCGGGCAAAATTGGGAAAATTTCAAAGCCTGAGGCTATTTGATCCACTGACCCCCCTCGGGACTCCTATAGCATCAGTATATGTCGGGTCAGAATCTCCTTTCCATGAAGAGGATCTCTTATTTCTAGACCATGTTTTAGGTAAGACGCTAGACATTTCATGTAGTAAATGTTTATCAGGGAGGAGATGTATGGTCGTGGGCAGCAAAAGGGACACTAAAGCACAGTATCACATTTCTCGGCAATCTATCATAAAGTTTATCTTTGCCACACCACCACCACACATCGCCTCGGGACACAGGCTGAAAGTGGTTGCTGACCTCGAAAATGTCAACACACCAGGAGGCTGTGAGATTGTCTAAACGCACACCACTTCCAGTCATGTGGATGCAAGAATAATTAGCTTTAGCGACATGTTAAGTTTATGGCTGCAGGTACTACTTTAAGTATAGGTCTAGGACCCAAACACACTACACAATCAGCTTTACGGTGTTGGCTGCTTGCTCAGCTTAGAGTAACCAATTGTTATATGTGGCTGACGTGGAACCAATCATCTGTCGTGAGTTTGTTAACCAATGCTACTTTGACTCCCCTATCATGGGTTTGTTTTTCTGTGATTGGTTCAGTCATATTAATGCTTCTGCATACAAATACTGTGAACATTGGGTCTGTGTCAGCGCTATATGCCCATAAGCAAATTGGTAGACATGGTAATTTGGGGTCTAGGTCAGTCATGGTCAGATTTAGGCCAGTGGAAGTTTTAGTCATTTTAAAAAGTTTACGGATTTTTGCTTTGTTTTTCTAATATTTTCCTCATATAGTCTGCTAAGTTAGCTTCTTCATTAATTTCCCATTCATTCCTAAATTGAGGTATTTTGTACGTTCTTCCAAATATTATTTCGTATGGGGTTAGGCCTGTGGTACTAGTAATGTTTATATACAGTTTGACTAAATCTAAACACTGGGTCCATGGTCGCCCTGTTTCTTCCATACATTTTTTCAATCTGTTTTTTATTGTACCATTCATTCTTTCTACTAGCCCAGCGCTCTGAGGATGGTATGCGCAGTGATTTTTTCAAATCGATGTGGAATAGTTTACCTATATGAGATATCAAACTCTTTACAAAATGAGTTCCATTATCACTATAGACTTTCTCTGGTAAACCAAATCTTGGTATAATGTCTTTACACAGTGCTTTAGCCACAGTCAGAGCGTCGGAATTTCTAGTTCGAAATAATTCTATCCATTTGGAGAATGCATTAATTATTACTAAACAATATTTCTTTCCTTCACTTTGATTGAGCTCAATATAATCCATATGGATTATTTCAAATGGATATTGGGCCTGTGGAAATTGTCCTCTTTTTGGTCTCAAATTTCCTTGTGAATTATGTTTAGCACAAATTAGACATGCTCTACAAAAGTTTTTTTGAGTAATTATTGAATCCATAAGTTTCGTGCCCCCCCGTAGCATAAGGCGGAGGAAGGAATGCAGCACTTACAGAAGGGCTGTCCTTCACTGGGGTAGCCATATCATGTGGGAGTTGTTGTGCAGGTGGTTGTAGTGGGCGTCTACTAGCAACAACTGTCTCATAATCTTCTTTGTTTTGGAAAAGCATTGTGTCTGCTTTCGATAGAATTTCTCTATTTTCCTGCTTTCTTTTCACACGGCTCTCTTTAAGTCTGGCTGTCTCTAACCAATTCTCTAACTCTCTAATGCCATTTTTACGCATTTTCCTTTCATTATTTTAGTTTTTTTCTATAATTTGTGCGCGCAGTGCCTCAAGGTCTGACACATCAAGTCGCCCCTCAAAATTGTATTTTGTTATCCATTTATCCAAATATTTAACGTTACTCTTGTCATTATTTTCAAGAACTTTATAATCTTTACACTTCAACCTATCTCTAGGTCTCCCTGTAGAATGTTTGTTACCCATATTAAAAGAATTTGGACCAGTCCTATCACTCCTGGGGAGGTCTCTAAGAACTGGTTTAACTTTTCTTGATTGAGATAGTGATTAAATTATCTTTGTGGTATTTCTCACTTCAACCCGTCAAGGTGGAGAAATCTTGTCTTTACATCCACAAAGACTCACTATTTCCTTTCTCAGTCGATTGGTATGAGGACAACAACCTAGTGGTTATTATCTTCCAGTCACACAACCATTCACACTCAGTTTTTATTATTTTCAGTTTTTAAATGTTTATTGATTTTCTTATTTTCTCGGCGCCAACGGAATTTAACCCGGGAGGACTCCACCGTCCTGTTTAAATGGACTTTTACTCACTAGCCTGTCAAATTACATCTAGTAGTGGGGCTCCGCCGCCCTTTCACCTATTAGAGCCTAGGATTTATAGGGTTTCTCTACGCGCAATGACCCCCAGTCACTCGCTTTTTAACAAAAGGCCTACTCACAGTCTGTTGTCTTTCTCCCTCGGTTCCCCCGTCAACCGTCAGACTCCAACCGGCGATAAGATAACCAGCCCGGAAAGGGTATGTCACCTCGTAGCAGAGGGCCGTGGCCACGGTCTTTCTGGATTCTTAACGTCCGTTGGAGTCCTCAGGTATTTTTGGGATCCGGCATCTCCACCAAGTAAATGTTAGGTTTATCTAAACATTATAAACAAGAAGAAAGACAAGAGATTAATTCAGTTTTACTCATGAGGAGAACGGGCAGAGAGTGGGCATCAAAACCAACAGTCTCCACACGTTCTGATGACTCAAGGCCGTTCTCCTCTTTTTATTTCATTAGGAGGCCCTAGTTACAGAATGATAATTCTCAAGGGGAAGGGGAAACCAGCAAAGACATAATAAGAAACTGATGCAGCTATGCATAGTATAAACACATAAAACATGATTAACAATCAGGAGGTGCCTTAGGTATAGTCAGACACCATCATAACTCTTGCATGTGTGACAGTGGGAGTTGGCTTCATGTGAGGAATCATCTCGAGGTTCACAAGAGCGATAGGTCACTGCACACAGTTGTCAAACACACAGAGGTTATTCAACAAGTGACAAGTGATTGGTACATTATAAATCAAAGAATTGTAGTACATAAATGGTTAACTCATAGGCCTAGAATATCACACGAGTATTTAGCAAATATGGGATAATAAAATTATTCTGACAGACGTCATTAAGGAAACAAGGGAGGGTCGTCAAATGTCGTCTTCATGGGGGAAAGAGTTCAACTAAATATTCAACAAACTACAAAAGCTTAAATGTACTAGTATAGGTCCACAAAAACATTCTTGCTCGACTAAAGACGTGTCCTCACAATCAATTAGCCAATTAAAAAGGGGCGTGGCCACAACATTCAAATCTATTATGATCTGATCATGTATATGACCCTGCATGAATGTTAAAACAAAAAACTATTAAGCAGATCTAAACTCATGATTCTCTCTCAAATAAAATGACAAGTGACAAATAAAAGTGTTGGCCGACTAAGGACACCACTGACCCATCGATGGACTAAAGCAGGAGTGTCAAACTCATTTTGGTCTGGGGGTCGTATCCAACCTACTTTGATCCCAAAGGGGCAGGATCAGAAAACTCATGTCATATAAACCCCAAAATGACAATAAGTTCAAATATTTGTGCAGAGAAACACAAATCTATTACAAACATCTTTTTTAATTGATGAACTCTTTCTTATTATAATATTATAATATTATGAACAACCTGAAACTTTAAGAAAAATTAAATTTCAACACCAAGTTTTAACATGAACTCGTTTGCAAATACGAATAAGTAAATTTTTGTTGTAAAATCCTGCACTCGGCTCCACTTTTCTCATGTTGGACATTTTTCTGATGAGGGTGTCACGGTCAACAGTCAAAACGATCGTCCTTTAAGAGCGTTTGGAAAGAGACAAGTCTTCATTTGTGCTGCTCTGGTGGGAGGGGCCACGTACAGAGACGCTGGAGACGCTGCTGTGATAAACACCACAGAAAACAAGATTTTAATAGAAAATATAATAAAAATATTTTAGTAGAAAATCACCCAAGGGCCACATTAACCCTCTCAGGCTCAAATTAATTTTTAGTATCAGGAAAAATCTGATATTTGGGGAAAATTATCATATGGGGTAGTAATATACAATCCTGAATTTTTTATCCTTTTATCCTAAACTAAAAAAGTACTTTGCACTTCTGGCAGGCCGTTTGTGTGTAGCCATTCTTGCACAGTCTGCATCGCCCATGTCTATCAGCATGGATGGGAAAAAAGGCTCCTGAGTTAAAAAAGGTTCATAAAATATGGATGTGGAGTAAGTAGGTCATTGGAATTTAGCTGTTGCAAATCTGCAATGCCTGCCTGGAGAGGGTTAAAGGTCTTGGGGGGCCGGATCAGGCCCCCGGGCCTTATGTTTGATACCTGTGTTCTAGACAAAGCAGGTGGTGGATCCTCCACCAGAAGTGACACAGTGCAGCTTTAAAGGCGCTGTTTTTGTATTTTTACTGTCTTAAAAGCATTTACAAATGTTTATAACAGTCTTCCTCATTTATCTTCTGCATTCAAAGCAGCTTAATTATTCACCATGATGAGTTTTCTCTACTCTGAGACCAGAGCGTCACAGTAGCCTAAGTAACAATTAGCATGCTAACACGTACTTCCTGATTATTGAACCATAAATGGCTTTACAGATGCATCAGCTGCTCATATGCTGTAGTATATCTGCCCTGAGGCAAGAGTACTAACACTAATCCATCTAAAAGAATATGAATATCATGAAAATGTTATCTGCAGCCATGTTCATCAAAATGCCAACAAATAAAGGCTTGAAGGCTTCACTCTATGTGTCATGACCAGAGACTGTATATAAATGGACATAACTAACACACTAGTCACTGCGTTCCAAACAAGAAGTTCTCATGTGGCTCTTCTGGCTCCTACTGACCCTGGCTCCCATTGACTTACATTAGAATATTGTCTCCATATCTGCTGCAGAGCCTCATCATTTTGGTCTGAAAATGGTCGTATTACAGTTTTTCTCCGATGGTTTGGCTCATTTTTTGAAACAGAAATGACATTCTTTAAACAACATGGACAAATCTCCAAACCACCTGCAGTCGTTCACAACAGAATTACATTTCTCATGTATTTCATCTAATTGTAAATGTCTTAGTTCATGTCTCAATTGTCTCAGTGCATCTTTGCACATGGTTCTGTACAAGTCTTCTACAGTTTGCACAGTGAACCCACGTTTAGCACATTTTCCAAATAAATGGATCTCGCTGATCTAAACTGATGAGTTGATTCTCAGTCTGATGGTTGTTCTCTCCAGAACATGTCAGACTGATTTCACTGTCTGAGTCATCATCTGTACAACAGTCTGTTCAACTGTCAAAATTAGTCAAAAACATAACACCATTAACACATATCTGTATTTCTTGGAATATTTGTTTCATGACAGTAATTGATCCTCAGGTGAAATTAGAACTTGACTAATGCAGGAGGAGTTTCCCACATCTCAGACGACGAATCAACCCAAATCAGACCAAATCAAAATCCCACGTGACCCGACAGGTGCTGACATGTAGATGTAGAGCTTGACCAGGGCCAGGACCATTTTCAGTTTGAACATGGAGGTACCTGGTCAAGTAAACGAACAAGGACAACTTCCCCCTCGAGGAAGAGAAAGAGGAGGAAGAAGAAGAAGAGGAGGAGGAGTGAGGATTCTTGGTGGTGGAATAGGAGGAAGAGGCTGAGGAGCATGAAGACACTGTACTGTCCCAGATGAAATTCAGGCCACAGTTATAGTCATTGTTGTCAGTCTTGTCCTCACAGTGGCAGAGGCACGTCACAGAGTTCAGTGTGATGTGTGTCACTCTGCGTCTGCCAAACCTTTCACAGAGAAAACAGATGTGTGTGGAATTACAGAACTGTACAGGAGACATGACAGTTTACAGTACTGTACATACTGGAAAACAAGACATGTATAAACTGCATCTGTGCATCACAAGTGCAAATATCCACTGGGATGTGGACGGAAATCTATGGGCGAACAGAGAGCAGCGCGTGGACGTCCAGGAGGAGGAGGAGGATGGTGTCCAGGAGATGAAGGGTGACGACTGCGACCAGTGAAAGTCTTACTCTAGTTGTGAAACTGTATTTACAGCACTGTAGGCTAGATCTCATTCTTCTTTTTTGGTTTGTGTTTATATTTGGTCAGTGTTGGGGAGTAACAGATTACATGTACGGGAGTTACGTAATCAGAGTACAAATTATGAGTAACTGTATTCAGTTACAGTTACTGTTTCCATGAGTGGTAATTGGATTACAGTTACTTTGTTGAAATAAATGGATTACACGGTGGTATTTTCCTGTTTTCACATTTTGGGCTAAACCAGGACTAAACCAGGACTAAAACCAGGACTAAAACAGGACTAAAACCAGGACTAAACCAGGACTAAACCAGGACTAAAACCAGGACTAAAACAGGACTAAACCAGGACTAAACCACATCTAAACCAGTACTAAACCAGGTCTAAACTAGGTCTAAACCAGGTCTAAACCACGTCTAAACCAAGACTAAAACCAGGACTAAACCAGGACTAAAACCAGGACTAAAACCAGGACTAAAACCAGAACTAAACCAGGACTAAAACCAGGACTAAAACCAGAACTAAACCAGGACTAAACCAGGACTAAAACCAGGACTAAACCAGGACCAAACCAGGACTAAACCAGGACTAAACCAGGTCTAAACCAGGACTAAAACCAGGACTAAACCAGGAATAAACCAGGACTAAACCAAGTCTAAACTAGGTCTAAACCAGGTCTAAACTAGGTCTAAACCAGGTCTAAACTAGGTCTAAACCAGGAATAAACCAGGACTAAACCAGGACTAAACCAGGTCTAAACCAGGACTAAAACTAGGTCTAAAACCAGGACTAAACCAGGACTAAAACCAGGACTAAACCAGAGTCAATTTGAGGAGAACAAACATGAATTTTCAGGATGTGGTTGGTACATTCATGTAGTTTTAAAAAACATGACAATATCAAGTAATCCAAAGTATTCAGATTACGTTACTCACCTTAAGTAATTTAATGGATTACATTACAAACACATTTTGGGGTATGTAATCTGTAATCTGTAGGGGAATACATTTTAAAAGTCACCTTCCCAACACTGTATTTGGTACATGTACAGAATACTCTACTGTGAAATCCTTTTTTCAGTTTTATCCATAATTGTATTGTGTTAGTTTGACCTTTGCCATAGTGACAAAACATCGAGTCATTTTGAGCTGCAGTGACACGAGGCCAAAGGGACGATGCATTTTGGGGATAATGACTCTTTATGTGAGAGAGGAGTTTAGTTTTAAAGTGTTTTGGGACAGATCTGAGCTTCTGCAGGTGATCCATGGTGTTGTGCTGAACCATCCAGGTTATTTTCCCCAAAGCTCTAAGTGGATGCAAAAGAGCCAAAGCAATTGAGAAGGATCTTTGTAATTTTGACTCTGACTCTTTAGACAGGAAAGGAATCTAGTTTTGAAGCATGAGTGAACAGTTTGGGGAGAGATATGAGCTTTTGCTGCTGAGCTGTAAAGTTGGACAGAACTATCAGACTGTTTGGCTAAATGATCTTATAGTTTTGAGAATGTCATTTCTGTTTCAAGAAATGAGCCAAACCAATGGAGAAAACTGTGACCCTGGAACTGTAATCTGATCTTTTTTCAGAATTTGAAGCACTGAAATTTCATTGTATACTTTTCAATGTGTTAAAAGTTTCAAATAAAAAAAAAAAATCTATAAAATATTGGGTGTATTTCTTTTCAAACCCTCAAATATGTGACATTAGCACTGTAAAATACGATGAAGACAAATGACCCAGCGCTCGCTTAGTCCATTTTTTTATACAGTCTTTGGCAGAGGTGGAACAAAGTCGTTTTGCAAGTCTCAACTTCTCGACCTCAAGTCCGAGTCAAGTGTCTCGAGTCACTGGCCCATAAGTCCAAGTCAAGTCCAAGTCGTCTGCGGTAAGCTTCGAGTCATTTCAAGTCTTGAAACCAAAAAAGTTTCAAATATAGCTTAGATTTTTGCAGTTTACATGACTTTGAATCTGAACTGTACTTAAAATGTCATGGTATATGAGTATTATAGAGATGCTCATTTGTCTTGACAAGATCTTAGTTTGAATCATTATGGTAAGAATGGAAAGAATTCAGATTTCAGAGTGTTTAAAAACTGTTTTTTTGTGTAGTTTGCACTGAAATGGAAGGATCATGTTCTCTGTAGTTCTGTTTTACTGTATTGTACTGTATATTACTGTATTGTACTGTATATTACTGTAGTACATTTGATGATACCACATCACAGTACTTCAGTTCCAAATCCAAAGTAACAAATAGAAAAGTGAGAGGGACATGTTTAAGTTTGTTCCTGTAAAATGAAGCACCACATGTATTAACTGTAAAGACTGTATTAACTGTCACAGGCCTCAAGTCCCAAGTCACTAACCTTCAAGTCCAAGTCAAGTCCCAAGTCTTTGTCTTTTTTATCAAGTCAAGTCTCATGTCTCCTAAAAATAGTGACTCAAGTCTGACTCAAGTCCAAGTCACAACTTGCAAGTCCCACCTCTGCTCTGTGGTCTGGAGTCTCTGGAACATAAATGAGATGAGAATGAAATATAGAACTTTTTCATATTCTAATTTTTTCCAATGGACCTGTACTGGCTTCTTTACACGCGGAAAGTGTGGGAGAGGCTCTTTAAGCTTCTCAAACTCTTGTGGTCCTCAGAGGGCTGTTGTCTGGCTCTCACTTGTGCCTGTGGTCAGCTCCAACAGGCTCCTGCTGCGCCGCATTCACTGGCCCTCGGTAATTACAGCCCTGTCTCATACATCAGACGCAGGAACAAGACTTTTAGTTCTTCTAAAAGTTAAGAAGACCTGCCCTCATCTGAGCTCAATACCACAGAGATACAGGCAGACACACGACTGGCTCTTAAAGAGGAGCTGTTTTACTTCTATGGAGGATTAACTGCTAAAACATAACAACACATTAACATGTTTTATTCATTTTCACACTTTTTGACGCTCTACATCACACTGATGTACACGTCAGTGTGATGTTGTGTGTGCAGTACATCCTGCACATCACATCACGTTTGTCAAGTTGCTGTGTAGTTTTGTATCATGTTTTTGTGTATTCATGGAGACTTGTCTTGTGGGAGAAAGGGTGATGTAGGCTTGTGGGCGGAGCCTTGTACAGAATCTTACAGCTGACCATAAGGAGGGTTTGAATTAAGGATTTGCATCTACGTCACAAAACCACATGACCTGGTGTTTATGTCGCCATATTGGAGTCAAACTATCCATGTAGACCAATGTGTAGTATTTGTGTGTGATAAAATTTGAATTGAAGTGTTGCTATCGGATGTTCTGGCTGGAGTCAATCTGCTAAAGAAGGAGGCCAACGTATCTTTCTACTGGATCCCGGCGGAGAAAGATCACAGATAGAGGTGGATAGTGGTGTGATAGTGATCGACAAAGATCTCACGCATCCCTCTACAAAATATTTATAATCCTCTATGGCTTTTCAGTTCTTGGTTGTTGTAGGACAATGTTAAATGAATGAAGTTGTTGTAAATATCTGGATATTAAAGGTCGGGCACAGAGCGAGCGTTCATTAGACTGCGCTCCACTGGAATTAGATCAGGATCTTTTCCACAAGGACCATACAGGAGGACGACTTTAGCTTCATACCTTTGTAATAACGGCTGAACTAACGAGCTGGTGATTTTGGACAGTTTTATGTCATTCGCGCTGTTCAAAGACACCATGATTATACTGAAATAAACTGAATAATCCCAGTCTTGACCTCCAGTACGGCCGCCAAAACATAAATCACGTGACTGACGTCACATGCAAATCCTTAATAGGGCCCAGGAGAGATCACTACATTACTCAAACATGCATGGATGATTCTAAAACCTCTTCAGACATGTTTCTGATGACAGAACAATGGAACAAGAAAATATGATTTTGTCCACTACTCCCTCTTTAAGACTGTACTTTTGTACCTTTGTACCTTTTCAGACAGTGCTGTGTTACTGTGGCAGAGTGGTTATCCTGCCTCCTCTTCTCAGTGACAAGGTTGTGGTTAGACTCCTGGTCTCTCCGTGGCCTCTGACAGGTTTCAAATTGGTAAGTCTCTGGCCTCAGCTCTCTCCAATAGAAAGACTTTTTGGGTAAATTGTTTCTCACATTCTCAACCTGAACTCACTTCAGCCTCTTTACTCTCCCTCTGCCCCTGAACCACAAAAACACTCATTTTCCAGATATTTCTGCATACAAAATCTGTGGAATTGTAAACCTAGTGGTGAGGTTCTGGTTTCAGTGCAGGATTTCAAGTATTTTGAGTATTCTAAAAATGAAACTTATTTTGTTGCCGCTACAGAATTGTACTGAAGTGTTTACAAAAACGTGTAAATGTGAAGGGGCTGTAACTGTTTTTTCAGTTGTGTTAAAACTGTGCTCTGGTTTCAGAAAGAAAAATGCTGATAAACTCATCGTGGTGAATAATTCGGATGCCCTGAATGCAGAAGGTAAGTGAGGAAGAATTGGACAGGGGCTGGGTATCATTAAGAAGTTGCTGATACAATACATAGGCCACGATACGAATACTCTTTTTGATACAGTGAGTTTTCAGTTCAATACGAATTCAAATCAATTCAATACGATTCAGAGAAAAACAAAGGCTAAATCGTGGCTGTGATACTAAAAGTTTTTGTGAAACCACTCAAAACTTTACTCAAAACTGTGAAACTGTCAACACAACTGTAGCTCTTACACAAAATCATTTAGTAAACTATACGTAAATATACTCTTATATAAATATATGTATACAGCAGCCCACGATATCAATACTGTATCATCCAATTAAACAATACGATATATTGATATTTCAATATTTTTGCACACCCCTAACCCTTAGTTTGGACCACTGCAAACTGTTTACAATTAACTAGTTCTTTTTACTAGACAGTAAAAAAATCATGTACAGTGCCAATAAAAGTTGGATTCCAGGTCAGTGAGTACCATTGTGTCTTTGAGCAAGACATTCACATGGTAGATCTGTTGTCTGGGCAATGGAGTAAAAACAATTCCTAAAGTTCAAACACATTTTTGGTTTTATTTACAGATTTTTTTAAGGCAGTGTTTTACAAAAGTGTCATATTTGAGCTGCAGACAGGTGACAGAGCGTCTCCTCACAGCTGGACCTCTGACCCTCTGTATCTGCTTCACTCTGGGGGGTCAGGCTCCTGTGTGCTGGACTTCAGAACCAGAACATTTCCTTTCAGATCATTTGGACCATTTCCACAGTGTGCCTGGTGCCTTCAGACTGATCTGTTTGTATTACTCACACAGAGGGAGATCAGTCTGGCCCGGCCCTCTGTCGTGCCTTGAGTCTATAATCGTATCAGGTTGTGTTTGCTACTGTGTGCGTTGTGTCTCCATGGTAACTGCTGAACATTCCAACATAGCATAAAGATAAATGATCAAAATGGATAAACTTAATGCACGCCCCATGGAGTTCCAAATAGGAAGTGAGCATGGGTGAGAAGTGTTTCCTTAGAACTCTGGTTAAAGCTGATTTTCTGTATGTGCTGCTGTGAGCCTCGCCATTTTGGGCATAAAATATTTGTATTAAACTGCTCTACATGATCCTGGGGTTTTTATTTCACTGTGAATGTTAAGTACAGACCAATCCACTGCCTTCTTTCCCCAGTCTCCCTCACTAGTGTTAGTAACAGGTTGGATTGACAGCCGCGTTGCTAAAGCAGTGGTGCAGGTGGGAAGGGCTGCTACCTTCAACAGCTTGGCTCTTGGCTCTTTGGTTTCATGCTTGGATTTCCAAATTTGGTCCCTGGTTGCAGATTAGCTCCTATAACTGCCGGGCTAAATGAGCTTCATTTGGCTGGAGCTGAACGCTGTGAGTGATGTCACACTCCCTTCTTTATACCATCTACTCTCCATAGACATACATGAGGTTTCCCCCAGTGTGATGTCACTCAGTGGGGGAATAGAGCTGTCGTCAGACAGGAGCATGTCTCTTTGTGAGGCTGTGAGATGAAACTGTGATATTTTCACCATTTCTCAAACACAAGTGACCAGGAGCATTATCCTGTTCTATGCATCCATTAGTGACACTGATCTGACCCACGGCAGCTCCGGCTCCAGCACAGAGTATAGGAGCTGTAACACGGGCAGGTCACCGCTGTGTGTGATTGTGATTGGAACTGTCGCACTGAGAGCTCTGATTGCAATAGTGCAATATAAAGAAAACTATTATTAGCATGATTAGTTCAGTGAAGTGAAAACTGTGCGTGAGGTTCTAACTCAAAGTTTACACAGGGACAAAATACAAACACACAAACACAGTCCAGAGTTTCTGGACCAGTGATTTTCATGCCTTCTGACAGATAACAAACTTATTCTGGAAGTGTCATGTCTAACACTTTTGTGTGTCTGCGTCATAACAGAGGGTCAGAGTCAGTGTGAGGTTCTGCAGGAGCAACAGGTGGAGCAGCAGAGAGGTCCTGGTCAGTAACCCCGGGCTGTTTGGACTGTGCAGCTCAAAGGCACAACAGCAGAGCTCTGAGAGACAGCGTCACAACACAAACTTCTCCCACACTGCAGTCACAGCTGCCCCAGGGCAGTCTAAGGGAGGCCAAGCTTTCTAGGGATCGAGGGCAGCCTTTAGATGCTTGGTTGATAAATAAATCCACTGATTATTTTATTGTGAGGCTTTATATGGACCACAGCAGAATAGAGAGGGCATGGTGTGAGCCATCTAAAGACGTGGTGGTGGTGAGTCATGAGCTTACTCTGTCTTCACACATAAATACAGTGTTTTCTGCATAAATAACTGTATTTGCATAACCTCACAGACAGTAGTAGTCTCATGATCATACAGATACAGATTTGAGAGCCGTTGCCAGTTTAAGGCCACTGTCCCCTTTAGTGGACCGTACGATCCCCAAGACATGTCTGCTGACCAAGAATGTCTTCAACTACAGCCTCAGAAGCTCCCAGGTCAGTAAAGGATCCTCCTGGAGTCAGGCGCAGCAGGTGAGATGGTCCATGACTTCTGAGATGGTATGACTTCTTGGTTCAGTAGGTTCCTGGTGAGATGGTTCCTGGGTCAGTAGGTGTTCCTCCAGGAGCGCAGGTACAGCTGTATGGGGAGCAGAGGGTTCCTGTTCTGGAGACTGGGGTGAAACACGTCAAAGTCTGCCCTCCTCAGTCTCTGCAGGTAGTCCTCTATCCCCACCTGAAACAAACAAGGAGTCAATCATGTGGAATTAAACAACTGGAGGTGGTTTTCAGATTAGAATATGCTGATGTCAGACTCTCAGATGGGGCAGAGACAGTTTTCCCACTGATCAAATTGTACTTTACCATGAAATCTCCAAAAGGTAAATTCACAAATGTTGAACCTGATCATTTCTATTAGTGATTAGAGCCAAGAACTCACTGTATTACAACACAAATCTGCATGTGAACAAGTCATGACGTCATTTGAGCTGCTCTGTCTATATTAAATATGACTGGTCTATGGAATGTTGTGATGTCATCTGAAACTCACCCACATGTCTGCTGCCTTTTCAAAACCACAACATCATCACTCTGAGTTTTTCACTGCTTTGTGTAACCCACGTCAAGTAGCACCACCTCCTGTGGCGCCCTTACTGTGGCGGGACAACTTTCCTTAAGATCCGGCGTCCCCACACACACCCCCTTCCTGCTCCTCTCCTCCGGTGCAACGACGCTGCTGCTCAAACACTTGGGAAAAAAGCATTAACCACGGATCTAATAAAGATTTGCTGGAGCCGATTTACTCTTCTTTCAGTCCCCTCAGTTACATCTCAAACAGTCAGGTTTTTTCCCCCCACTGGATCTTTCCATTACACTACTAAAACTCAAGCTACAGATTCCCCGCATGAATCGTGGTAGGACATATACACTCTTTTCATAATACCGGAACCTACTCAGTCTTTTGGATTACAATAACTCTAACTAAAATTTTGGATTACAATAATTCTAATGGACCATACCACCCTCTACACCCGCTTATAAACTGGACTCAGAATTTTGAAAGCCAATTACTGGTTGTGTCATTTTGTGTGTGTGTGTGTGTGTGTACCTATATATATCTATAGTAATAATAATATAATATAAATACCTTTTATTATTCATACCTCTTATATACTCTGAACTCATATTATTAATATATAATTTTGAACTGAATTTTGTGTCCTGTGAGTTATTCACACATTTTCACTCCCTTCTTTTGATCGCCCTTTAGGCCACAGTCAAATCCTTAGCCCTAGTCTGTTACATTCGCTTACTGATTCTCCAGAAATTCTCCATGTGATATTTTTGCCTCTTTTTTCCTCGTAAGCAGCTGTAATGTTTTTGATACTGAAGCTATTCGTGCCCCTGATTGGCTAATCCACCTGTCAATCACACCCATCAGAACTATTCACCATTGACCACACTCACATCTTCATAAAAGTAGATTAGTAGTAGACTTTAAAAACACAGAGGAGCTTCCTGGATTACCACCTGATGACAAGGTGCTCTCAAGAGGGAGATGGATTTAGAATTAATGAAACAAAGCAACTCCAACTCCAGCCATTTTGACACGTCACATGCACGTGAAGCCACCGAGACAAGCTACAGGTCAGATCTGTGGAGAGGCGAGTCCACTCACAGTAAGAAACAACTTTAATGTCCTACTGTGGAACATTCAAGGCAAAACAATCACATCTCCATGGAAACTGGCTCAGAAACTCAAACATCAACCCACAGAAACAGGAACAAACAACTATGAGTCAGAGTGTGGACTAAACCAAGAGTAAACCAGGACTAAAGGTTTGTGTTAAACATGTGTGAGTGAAACAAAACACAACTCCAGGTGTTTGTGATGAGGAAACTACATTAGAACATAGAACAGAAAATAAGGTAATATTAATCACATTATACTCGAGTCTCTTACCGTGTGTAAAAACGCCGGGGTGGCGTCTGGAGGGACATTCTGCCTGAACGATCGCGCCTAAAAATAAAACAAAATATTAAAAAAAAAGGATTTCACTTGAGCAGGACAAAAACTCTGACTCACAGATTTAACATGAAAACTGTGAAAACCAGAACTAAAGCACAGACTATTAACCAAGGACAGATCCAGGGCCAGACCAGGAATAAAACCAAGATGACATCTACTTATTGTGTTATAGTCCTCTTTTACAATTTGTTCTTTGTAAAAAACAAAAAACAAAAAAAACTAAAACAGTATTGATCTAAATGACGGTAATAATAGAAACATACATAATAGGAACAACTGACTTTTCAAAAATACAGAACAGAGCTTATAAAAGCAGAATGAGAGAAAATCACCTTCTAAGAAAAAAAATAAATAAATCTGAACTTCAAATCACATGTACATCAGGACAAGTTTTTAAAGTCTTAACTACAAGGTTATGAACTTTTACACCATGGAGACAGAGGGAGGGCATCTGACACACAAGAAGGGCATATGACACAATCAACAACACTGTTGAGTGTAAGTGAGTTACTTAGTCCTGTAGTTAAGTGAGCTGGTGTAACTGGTGAAAATAGTTAAATTACAGTTATTAAGAAATGCTTAGTTCCTTGGCTACTTGCAGACGTGACCTCAGAGGCAGAGTCTCTGTGTGGTGCATTTCTATAGAAAAGGAGAAATTCAGTTTGTCAACTGGACAAACGTTTATTTAGATCAAAAACGTTTTGCATCTCATCCAAGCTGCTTCTTCAGTTCTGGTCAGAATGCTGGTGGACACTGCCTTATATCTGCCTGTATTCAGTGCAGTGAAGACTGCAGTGAGCGCTACATTAGAAAAACAAAACAGCCACTTCACAAGAGGATGAACCAACACAGATGAGAGCAACACAGGACCTCAGTCTGCTGTTCATCTCCACCTAAAAGGACCTCAGTCTGTTGTTCATCTCCACTTAAAAGCCTCCTTTGAGGACAGTGAGGTACAGATCTGAACCAGAGAAAAGAATTGGTTTAAGAGGAGAGTTAAAGAGGATATTTTTGTTAAGAATGACAATCCATCTTTGGACAGAAATGGAGGACTCAGACACCATCTATCTCCTATGTATGACTCCATCCTCAAACCTAACACAAAGAGAACAGCCAGGTCAGGTCCAGAGGTGTGAAAAACACTCTTTATAGGCCTGAATGATTCTGCTAATATGACCCCACACTCAGTGAAGATGAATAGGCCGAGCTAACAAACAGAAACTGTAAACAAGTGTGTGTGTGTTAGTTTCAGAGTAGTTTCAGTGTTGTTAGCTCCTCCCTGCAAACAGATATAAGGAAATGTCCACCAGAGTCTGAACACAACTGAAGAAAGAATGAGCTGCCAAACATATTCACCCTAAATAAACTTTTGTCCAGTTGACAAACTGAATTTGAACTGAGGGATTCTACACATACATTTCTATAGTTGATGGGATGTCATTAGGGCTGCACACTTTTGATACAGATACTTTGACTTCAAGTATCTGCCAATACTAGACATGAACCGATACAAGTGTGCGGACAGAAAATGTCACTTATTTCTTTAAAACACAGTGAGCTTAATTACACAGGTCCAATAGTGTTCTGTAACTGTTATTACTCCTTCATGAACAGCTTTGTTTGAAGAAAAGTTCAAACCTTGTGAGACATTATCAGTGTGTAAATTGTCTTTTACATGCAATTATAGGTCCAACAAGGATATCAACCGATATCCTGGACCGATATCTGATCCAGCTCATTCTTCCAGTATCAGTGTCTCTATATGCCATGTGAGACAGTTTAACCAACTCATCTGTTATCCTCCTCTATTGAAATGCCTTAAAGAAAACTGAATATATGATTCATTTATACAGTGTTACAAAAAGTAATCCCAAAGTAATGTAACTACTTTTGTTTTTCAAAGTAATTTCCAACATTACAACCTCTAGACTGAAGATTCTGTTTTGAAAAAGGTTGCTGTTTCATACAGGAGGGCACTGCAGGTATCAGAGGTTTTTGTTTTTGTGCATCTTTGCCTCAGGTCTTAATCAACTGTTTGCTCGTTAATTGAGTCTAATGGAAAAACCGAGAGAGAGTGAACACAGCTGCACATTATGCAGCCAAAAACATGTTTACAATGAGAGGACAAAAGAGCCAGAGCCAGCCCTCCATCCTCCTGTATCCCTCCTCCCCCCGTGTCAGATGCCCTCACAATATTAACACATGTCCATACAATGATCTTCCTTTAGACAACAGAATGTGATTTTCCACATTAACAGTAGTACTTTCTTTTCCAGTCCTGTGTGTCTTATATGTGTGTAATCCTCAGTGGTGGAGTAGGTTCATGTTGGTCCATGTTGGTCATCAAGCAGAAGTAAACACAAGGCCAAAAATTCAAGTTAATGCATCTGATATAAAAATGTATTGAACAGATACATATGTACTCTAGTTTATGAAACTGTTGACCTTTTTTCTGTACCATTTTTGGTTCTAAAGTTCCATATGTTTTAAACAGAGCATGTATGAAACATGGAACAAAAATTATTTCCCAAATTTCAAAGACCTGCAAATCATGTAAATAATGTATTTCATCATATCTTGTGTTATTCCATCTTTGAACTGTTGATGAAGGTACATGATTAAAAAAAAAAAAAAGTATTTAAAATGATAAAAATTAACTTGGAAGGACTGACATATTTTATAGAAATAGTTTCCTTTCATTTTGAAGTAATATTAAAATATTCAGAAGAAAAAAGTTGACAAATGATGTAAAATCCTGCACCTTCTACTTGTTTGCACAATTTTCCCTCCGTTACTTTTCCCTCCGTTACCATGACCTTTCTTAATAAAAAATCTCATGAGTCAAAAAGTAAGAGGTTTTTCAACCTAATCTTGTACCATATGGTAGAAAACTATATGAAGCAAATATTCAAACCAGTTTGTTAAGGATATGGAAGTGAGAACCAAGAGTTATCACTGTTTGGATTTATTGCCCAAAAAGTGCTGCATATTTCATTCCCTCCATTACCAACATGAGTTTTTTAATTTTTTGTCAACAACTTGAAAGAATATCACAGGTTTAACTTGACCCTGTTGGAGTGTAACTCTTTCCTACATTCTGATACTTTACTTATTTCAATAGTCCCTCTAGTTTCTGAATAAGAGACATTTGAATGTCAAAAATCTGACCCTGTTTCCCTCCGTTACCACTTGACTGGACCCCTATGTGCTCTTTTACTTGTTCTGATACATCCTTCTAAAGACATTCAGGAAAGGTTCTCTTGTGTTCTATGGGACTTTTTCAGTATCGATACTGGCTCAAATGAGTATAGATTCAATACTGATTTCTGAGACTTTTGATAGTCCGATATCTGAGGAACCTAGAATATAAGTAGTCTGTATAAATGAGTTTCTTTTAGTTGATAATGAGCTATATTTTCCTGTCAGTCATCTTGGTCCTGGTGATTTTAAATCTGCTGCGTTTAAGTGAATCACTGCAACTGTGTCATTATTTTCAATTGGAGTCAAAGGATGAATGATGTAAACTTTAAAGGGGAATTACGTAAACTGGACTGGAGTTTTTAACAGTGTTCCCTCGTCCTTCTCTTACTCAGAGGTGTATTTAGAGTGATTGATTTTTCGACAGCCCTTTTGACAGCCCTAATAGAATAACTCAAATATGCAACGGATACTAATCAAACTAAAACTAGTATCAAAACTAGATACTCTTTGAGTCGGGAGTCGGGAGTCGGGAGTCCCCGGTCCCCGGTCCCCGGTGTGCACTGCCATGAATCTGACATGATATGTATCATGATATGCCTGTCGCATTTCAATATAATTACAATATATACCAATACTAAAATAAAGAACAAGATTTTGTGATTTATAAGTATGACATTCTGGACAAATACACCTTCATGAGAAGTAAAAGGGATGAAATGCAATAGATTAAAATTTTTATATCATGAGAACGGTAAATGGAACCTATGAATTTTTTTTATGAAAAACATGACTTAAAAAACTAAATTCAGATGCATTTTGCATTTTGAGATCGTGCAACGAAGTATCACAATATATCACTGAATCAATTTTTTTTTTACGTCCCTGGACTCGTGTCCCTGGTCCCTGATCCCTGGTCCCTTGTCCCTGGTCCCCTGGTCCCTTGTCCCTGGTCCCTGGTCCCTTGGTCTCTCTGGTCTCTCTGGTCTCTCTGGTCTCTCTGGTCTCTCTGGTCTCTCTGGTCTCTCTGGTCTCTCTGGTCTCTCTGGTCTCTCTGGTCTCTCTGGTCTCTCTGGTCTCCCTGGTCTCCCTGGTCTCCCTGGTCTCTCTGGTCTCCCTGGTCTCCCTGGTCTCCCTGGTCTCTCCTGGTCTCTCTGGTCTCTCTGGTCTCCCTGGTCTCCCTGGTCTCCCTGGTCTCCCTGGTCTCCCTGGTCTCCCTGGTCTCCTGGTCTCCTGGTCTCTCTGGTCTCCCTGGTCTCCCTGGTCTCCCTGGTCTCCCTGGTCTCCCTGGTCTCCCTGGTCTCTCTGGTCTCTCTGGTCTCTCTGGTCTCTCTGGTCTCTCTGGTCTCTCTGGTCTCTTGTACATACGTGTTGTAGGTGAGCATGGGCCTGACTCGCGATGTCAAAAACCACGTCTCTGACCGAGTTTTCTCTGCTCCCTCGAATGAACTCCTCCTGAGACGCTCCGTGCTGCAGACACACACAGAGAAGAGATTAGGGCTGAGCCATTAGTCCATTCAGATCAGTAGTGTCTCACTCCATCCTTTTATTCGTCGAATAAATACTTTATCAGGATTATTAGGATTTACAGTATATGGACCACAGCAGACAGAAAGTATACAGACAGTTGGCTGGAGTTTTGGGACTGAATGGACAATTTAATCTGACTTTTCACTTACAAAGATGTCCTGGTCCAGCCCTGGTTGTGCTCTGTTCAGTCCTTGTCCAATCCTGGTCCAGCCCTGGTTTAGTCTTACATAAGAGTGTGTCATGTCCGAGCCTCCACATGGTGCTATAAACAGCTTTGGGTTTCTGTTCGATCAGATCTGCGCCAGGTCCATATAAGGAGTGCGTTACACTTCCTGTTTGTTTATGCCACTTCCTGTTTGTTTGGAAGAAGAATGAGTCATAATTGGATTGACGGTGGCATTCAGAACAGTCAGTGGACTGTTCCTTCAGCACATAGTCTCACATGAGCAGGTGAAGAGCTCCTCATTTAAAGGCTCCATATGACACTGTTTTCTGATCTGTTCTGCTGTGCTTTCCTCATCACAAACTGACCTGGAGTTGTGTTTTGTTTCACATTGAGGCTGAGTTCTTCTCTCAAACAGAAAACCTTGTAATGCTGTGTCATAATACAGGAAGTGCTTCACTGAGATTGCACAAGAATTGCCAATCTCTACTCAGCTAAAGGTAAAGGAACTGTTAACATGAAAACTACCACTGCATGACATCATGAGGTGGAACAGAGCATTTGGAGCTTTGGAGATGTAGACACACTAATAAAGGGTTACTCAAACATGTGTGAATGAAACTCTAGGTTTGTTTTTGAGGAGGTACCAACATTCTAAAATGACTAAAAGGTCACATGTGTCAAATTTTAGGGACACCTTGTACAATTTCTTAAAGGTTCATTATTATGCAAAATTGACATCATTTCACAGACCAATCATTTTGGCAATTCCTTAAATTTTCACAGAATGTATAGAAACAGATCAAGATTCTATAGTTTAACGTTTTATTTTTGTTCTGTTTTCAGGTTGAGCCGTTCACTTCCACAGAGAAGTCACTTTGCATCTTGGAATCCGCTGATGGTCTACCAGATCCTTTAGCCCTAATTAAGCAGCCTTCCTCTTAATTTTTGGTACCAAGTCCAAATTTGTTTGCCAGTTGGTGAAGTTATTCCAGATTTTGCTTTGAGTCTTGGGTAACTGTGTGCGGGCAGATTCCAAGATGCAAAATGACTTCTCTTTAGGAGTAAACGGCTCAATCTAAAAAGAGAACAAAAATAAACCATTCAATATCTAATCTTGATCTGTTTCTATACATTCTAATCTTGATCTGTTTCTATACATTCTAATCTTGATCTGTTTCTATACATTCTTTGAATATTTGAGCTTATTTCAACAAGAACTGCCAAAATGATTGGCCTGTGAAATGTCATGTCACAATGACACCCTGTATAACTAAAAGTATTCTCACTTTAGGAAAATGGCTGCTCTTCTCACTTATCTCTTATTCCACAGGATGACATTAAAATATCTGCCCATGTAGTTTTTAGATCATGATGGTGGTTTTGATTCACTTGAAATACATGATTTCTTAGTGTGGGTGAGCTCGCATCTCCACAGATCTGACCTATGTAACTTGGCAGAATTATCTGCTTGTCACCATGGAAATGGTTAAATGTAATGCCATACTGTGGAACAGTATAGGAAAACACAATAACATCTCCATGGAGACAAGCAGGTGGCAGACAGTGCACCAGAAAAGTGCCGCAGTGTAGCTTTACTCAAACACCAGCACTGTGTGACTTTTTGGACATTAAGGTTTGATTTGTGATTTGTGTTTTGATCCTAGTCCAGTGTTTCTCAAACTGTGGTCCAGCTCCTTCAGGGGAGACCTGAACATGTTCACTTTGTGGGTTTGACTCATTTACGCTTCATTTGTCCTTGAAATGATGTAGTCCACTTTAAGACCTGGTTTAGACCGGGAACACTCATCATAAACTGATTTAAAGTAAGTATCTAGAATTTTGCAGAATTTAAATCATTTTATCTAGAATTTGGGATCTGAGAGTTTATTATCAGGTCATGAACACTCATCATAAACTGGTCTGAAGTCTGTTTATCTCAAACATAACATCATAATCTTACAGCCCATGAACACTTACAGAGGCTGATTCATTCTAGTCTAGAGCTTGTTTATTTTTAGATAACTGTCAACAGTATCTTACAGATAATTTCACTACTTGTGAGTCATTTTCTGATTTAAGTGTTTAGATCTTACATTTTGGCCAAGCTTTTTTGCAGTGTAGTCTATGTGCTCTTATACTTGTTCTGATGCAGCTCAAGATCATTCTAATATTCAGGAAAGCTTCGTTTCTGTCCTGTCAAAGGGATTTTTTTTAGTATCGGTGCCTGCTCAAATGAGTATCTAGATTCAATACCAGTTCTACTGAATGTTTGGTAGTGGATAAATCCCAGTCAGTTCTCCCAACTTCTGTGGTAAATGCGTTGGGGATGAAACAGTTGGGGAAAATATGGATGCCCAAGAAATTTTAATGTTTATTTTGTTTGCTTATGATTCCCATAAACAAGCCATATAAAATACATAAACTAGTCCAGGACTATGACTGAAGAGAGACACTGCATGATGGAAGTATAATTATGTTCATTCAACTACCATGTAACCTAAATGGTAAATGCTCACATTTTTATAGACCTGATTTAGACCTGGCTTAGATCTGGGATATTCCTGCTCTAGACCTGGTTTAGTCGTAGATTAGACCTTGAATAGTCCTGTTCTAGACCTGGTTTAGCCCTGGGTTAAACCTGTTATAGACCTTGGTGTGAAAAGTGTGAGACACTGATTTAGGATTCCAGTAGCACTGAACATTGAACAGATGTATTGTTAATCTAATCCAAAAATTCCGGACATGTTTGCAGAGGTCTAAACTGCAGGGTCAGCAGCTTTTCACATGATAAACACAGCATCACTGTGGTTTGTGAGGGAAAACAGCTGCCGTCCTTGTGATTTTCTGATTGTGATTTGGATTGGTTTGCGATCTTGCAGGAGTGGTTTACCTTGAGGCAGAGGTCCATGGGCAGGTAGACCCTCCGGCGCGTGCTGTGGTAGGGCGTGGCTCTCAAACACGTGACGATGCCCTGAGCTTTACCCAAGTGACTGGCAGCGTGATCCGCGTGCACGTTCTTCACTCCTGACAACACGACAGCACAACACAACACACGACTGTCACTCTCACGCCGTGTTTATCCAACCACAACGTCACAGCGCAGGGAGACGCGAGGACGGGAGGGCATCTGACACACAGAAGGACGGGAGGGCATCTGACACACAGGGAGAGGACGGGAGGGCATCTGACACACAGGACGGGAGGGCATCTGACACACAGAAGGACGGGAGGGCATCTGACACACAGGAGGACGGGAGGGCATCTGACACACAGGGAGAGGACGGGAGGGCATCTGACACACAGGGGGATGGGAGGGCATCTGACACACAGGAGGACGGGAGGGCATCTGACACACAGGGGGACGGAAGACGGGAGGGCATCTGACACACAGGGGGATGGGAGGGCATCTGACACAGTATATTTATCTAACCACAATATCTGCAGATTCACCAGAGACAATGGACCTGACCTGCCCCCATCACCTCATTAAAGATGAAATACGTCACTTTTCTGGAGGAGGGTACGTCACTTGTTGCCGTGGAGATGTTAGTGCTTTAGCTGGAATGTTCAGTAACTTACATTTCCACAATTAGCCCAAAACTATTGCCTTTTCTTGTCTCCATGGAGATAGACACGTTTAAAGCGACACTGTGGAACATTCCAAACTAAAATATTCAATAGTGGTACTTTTCTATTCCAGATATGTGTCCTGATGTGTGTGTAATCCCTCAGTGGTCCAGGTAGGTTCAGAGTGGTCCATGGGCGTATACTCTGCAAATTTCTCTGATCTGGCCAAAAGTTTAAAACTTATATCAGGTTATTCATCTTGTTTTCAGATTTATTATCGTTATTTGATTGTGGAATCTTAAAAATTGTCACATATATTTCTTCCATGACTCAGAAAATCTTAAATTTAGGCAATAATTGTTTAAAAAAAAGCTACAATCCATTTTCCCCTGAAACACTTCATTTGTTTTTAGATTCAGTGATACAGATTTGCTTATTACAAGACTGACTGCATTTTCTTTAAGAGTGCACTCACACTAGTACTGAACCTGTCATCAAGCACTTAAATCTAGAGTTTAGCATATTTGGATTTATAATCAGGCCATGAACACTCATCATAAACTTGTTTCAAGTAAGTATGTAGAATTTCGCAGAATTTAAAGCATTTTATCTAGAATTTGGCATCTGAGAGTTTATAATCAGGCCATGAACACTCATCACGAACTGGTTTGAAGTCTGTTTATCTCAAACTTAGCATCATAATCTTACAGCCCATGAACACTTACACAGACTGATTCATTCTAGTCTAGAGCTTGTTTATTTTTAGACAACTGTCAACAGTATCTTACTGCGTGGACAGATAATTTCACTACTTGTGAGTCATTTTCTGATTTAAGTGTTTAGATTTTACATTTTGGCCAAGCTTTTTTGCAGTGTAGTCTATGTGCTCTTATACTTGTTCTGATGCAGCTCAAGATCATTCTAATATTCAGGAAAGCTTCATTTCTGTCCTGTCAAAGGGATTTTTTTTAGTATCAGTGCCTGCTCAAATGAGTATCTAGATTCAATATCAGTTCTAGTGAATGTTTGTTAGTGGATAAATCAGTTCTCAGTTCTCCGGACGTCTGTGGTAAATGCGTTCCATTGCAACAGTTGGGGAAAATATAGGTGCCCAAGAAATTTTAATGTTTATTTTGTTTGCTTATGATTCCCATAAACAAGCCATATGAAAATAAATAAACTAGTCCAGGACTATGACTGAAGACAGACGCCGCATGATGGAAGCATAATTATGATCATTTAAATATCATGAAACCTAAATGGTAATTGGTCACATTTTTATACAGCACTTTTCCACCTTCAAGGCTCAAAGACACAGATACAGACACTAGGGGCGAGGTGGGTTAAGTGTGTTGCCCAAGGACACAACAACAGCATTCATCTGTGGCAGAGGGAAAAAACTCTACCAACTCACCTACTGCTGCCCAAAGTCACTAGGCTACTGTTGACTGTGTGCGCTGCCATTTGCTGTGACATAAATCCAAACAACTTTGCATAGAACTAGCTCGAGTTTGTGTTTGGGAACCCTGTTTTGATTGGCAGTTTCTCAAGGTGAAGGTCAGGTTTCCCCGAGTCCCGAGCACAACAGAATGTGCCTTTATCCCAGTATTGTTTTTTTGTTTTTTTTCAGATTCTAGAATATGATGATGTCATACTCCCAGACAGCACCAGTTTTTCCTACAGATTACATTGTATTTTGTCATGAAATATACAAAACGTATAATGTAATCTTTTCTACAGGTGACTAAACCCATTAACTTGCTATATTACAAGAAAAAACTACATTCAACTGTGTTTACTTTAATACAGATGGGGCAGCTAAATATTATTGGCCTATAGAATACTGTGATGTCATCTGAAATCCAGCAACAGACCTGGTATAGACCCGGCTCAGACCTGGTTTAAACCTTGATTTAATTCAGTTACATAATTTCCTGGATTTTAAAAGATTTCTGTACGTTTTGGTGGAGTCCTTCTGTCCAGATGGAGTGTCTCAGCAGATACATGTTAGAACAGGTGGCACGTGGATGGACTAATAACATGCATGTTTAATAATACATTTTCACTACGTTTATGCATGATTATTCAAATGAGCAGATGGAGGAACTGTTTGTGTCAAAGAACCAGCCCGTTTCAGGAGCTGTGTGGGACAGACTGAGGAGCTATGGAGGCCACAAGACCCAAGACCCAGCAGGGACCCATCTGGGACTAAACTGGGACTATACCAAAACTAAGCCAGGACTAGACCAGGACTTAACCAGGATAAAACCAGGACCAAACCATGAGCTGTGGATTTTCAAAATAAAAGCGCTGGTTTCTCTGACCTAGTGCCTCCAGCAGCAGGTAGAGCAGAGAGGACTGAGTGTTTTCAGAATAAGACTCCAGCTCCTGTAGGTTTCTGTAGGCTCTGTCCTCCAGGTCCTTCTCCTGGAAAACAAAGGAGATGGGTCAGATGTTTGATTTAGAGACAAGCGTAACATATTTCACTTTTAGAGACAGTTTGACTCACTCTCTCTTTGATGATCCGCAGCAGCCACCTCTTTGTTAGATAGTGTTTCCTCACTGCCTGAAAATGTACAGAAAACTTTTAAAAATCTGCACACAATTTGTATTTGAACAAAAAGTGTCTTGGCCCATTATCAGGAAGTGCTTAGGATTAACAGATAATACTCCCTACAACTGTACAAGTCACCCTTATGTAAAAGATAATACTCCCTACAACTGTACAACAAATCACCCTTATGGAACAGATAATACTCCCTACAATTATACAACAACTCACTCTTATGGAAGAGATAATACTCCCTACAACTGTACATCTCACTCTTATGTCACAGATAAGCCTGTGTTTCTGTCAATCATCATGTCATGTTTGCGCTGTGTGATGTGATATACTGTATTTATGTTACGATATTAGTTTTTTACTTTACTTGTACATACATATTATTTACGTCTTATTGATACCAATCTCTTGCCATTTTTATTGCTACTTATTCAGAATTGTATTGCCCTTTTTATATTTGTTTACTCTGTGTTATTGTAATATAATATGACGTGTGAGCTACTGTGTCTTGCTAGTGTGTCTTGCTCATGGTCAGGGAAGGGATTTAAAGGTGCTCTATAAGTTTGTTTCCAACTGGTTCACTTTGGAGCAGTCTGAAGTGAACTGCACAGACTGGACAAGGCTCAGGTGAAAACAAGGCCACAAAAAAATAGATTCACATAAATGCTGACTTCATTTTGTTTTAAAGCGCCGTATTTCCAGTGATGGCAGCTTTACATGTTGAGCTTTATATCATCTGTTTCCTGTTTATCGATGCATGGCACTTGCGTAAAAAGATGAAAAACCACACATTCCCAGTGCATAATGCACCTAATGTGATTTTTTTTTTTAAAAACAACCGATTACATAATCTATGACATCACAACGTGCGTAGAAACGTAAAAGTTAAATAAGAGCTGATGGTAAACCGGACGTAGTTTCAATGGAATAACATGTCCATAGAGACAAGCAGGTGACACACCGTCCCCCAGAAAAGTTACATAATGCACTTTTATACCCCCAACCCTCCTCCTGCTCCTCTGGCTCCCTCTAGTGTTCAGACAGTGTGGCTCCCTCTAGCGTTTAGACCAGGGGTGCTCACACTTTTTCAGCATGCGAGCTACTTACAAAATGACCAAGTCATAATGATCTACCTAAAACAAAGCCAAGCAAACTGCACTGAAACACTCTGCCCCTTTTTTGGACCCTCACCCACAGTTTGAGAACCTCTTCTTTAAGAGAACTTCCTCTGGCACTTTACACAAAACTGTGAAAAAAGTGAAGGAAGATTTTTAAACCTGTTTTTTAAAGTTCCAAACTGGAGTTACATTCTTTTCTGGTTTTGCAGTGATATTTACCAGCCTCTGCACATTCACCAAACCAAACACACATCGTGACAAACACAGATGCATTTGTGCACTTTTGTTAGACAAACTTCAGCCAAATGTGGCAGTAGGTCTGTTCTGTAGATCCGCTCTATGCTGTAGACCTGCTTTGTGCCAACACTGGAACACAAATTTAGACTGGTTTTTGCTTCACGTTTGGTCTTGTTCTTCTAATCAGCCGCACTGTGGGAGGGGCTTGTGTTCGCCGTACGTAGGAAGGTGAGAGTGTGAAAAGGCGAGGGGCGGCGTGCTGACGTGAGGCAGGTGGACAGGTAGGATGTTTAGGAAGTTGAACCTGCCCTGTGATGCACGCTGGTACACGAGGGCACACGCTGTTGCAGACGAGCCGTGCATAGGGAGCGTGTGTGTTTGTGATGCAGAGTCTCTGTGGGTTTCAAATGAGCGCACAGGCTGCACTGAGACGCCCCACACGCTCCTGCACCCGCTACAAGTTTATTGCCAACAGCAGCGGCCGGAATGAAATATGATCACACTTGTTGAGTGTCAGACCTCGAGTGAGAGACAAGACCGAGTGAAAACGCGAGTCCGAGACGAGACACGGCGATCTACCCACACGACCTTGGCGATCGACTGGTAGATTGCGATCAACGTATTGTGGCTCCCTCTAGTGTTCAGACAGTGTAGTGTTCAGACAGCGCGGCTCACCCTCCACAGCTCCGTGCTGATTGGCTGGTTTGGAGGCTCGTCGCGGTAGATCTCATCGATGGCAGTTTTCCAAAACTGCATCCGCATCAGCCCAATGGTCTTCTGGGAAACAGAGTCCTTCACCTGAAAATAAAACAACAAATAATAATCAGGAGGATAAATGATTAAAGCCTGGAACTGGGACCATGTGGTTTGGATTTAGAAGGTTCATTTCTTTTCCTGCTGTGTGTGACAAAACTTGGTTACCCCCAGTTCAGTCCCTACTATTAGTCCCAGTTTAGTCTCAGTTTCTCATACTTGTTCTGCTGCAGCTCAACATCATTCAAAAGCTTTTAGACATTTTCAGTATCAGTATCAGCTCAAATGAGTATCTAGTTTTGATACTTGTTTTAGTATTGACAAGTATCTGACTGTGGATACGTGGGACCACAGTGGTGTGTGGTGTGTGTAGTGCTGTGTGTGCTGTAGTGTTTGTACCTGCCTGAGCCAGCTCCACATTAAACGCCCTCAGAGCCAGAGAGGAGCGTCGAGCCTCCTCCGGGAGCAGCAGAGAGCACACGAAGCCCTCGTAATCTCTAGACCTGCAACACGGAGCAAGACTGGGTCACACTGGGTTTAGTCTCAGTTTAGTACTGATTTAGGACTGGAGATAGACCTGGTTTAGTCCTGGTTCAGTCCTGGTTCAGTCCTGGTTTCAGTCCTGGTTCAGTCCTGGTTTAGTCCTGGTTTAGTGCTGGTTTAGTCCTGGTTTAGACCTGGTTTAGTCCTGGTTCCCTGGTTCAGTCCTGGTTCAGTCCTGGTTTAGACCTGGTTCAGTCCTGGTTCAGTCTCTGGTCTTTCGGGTTTGGGGAGGGACTAGTATTACAGGTGAACATATTTTCTAATGGCACCTGCCTACACTTTATCAACAGAATGTCCCAGAATGGCATTAAAATTATCCATCTCCACGGAGACAGCAAAGCCAAGCCAAAGAAACAAGTTTGATCAGTAAGTTACTGATCAGATAAATAAATAAATAAATAAAAAAAAAACATTTGTAAGTGGATAAATGCAGGAGAGATCAGTTTAATGCCACAGTGTCATCCATTTCAGACAGAGTAATGCCTTCTTGTATGAGGCAGGTGTCGGACCGTCCACACAGCGCACTTTTCTCTTTCACATGGTGCATATTGAAGTTTACGCGGTGGGTGGGTGGATGGATGGATGACTTTTACGCACCGGACCAGCTCCAGGCAGAACTTGTGATCGTGCTGCGCCTCCGGAGAGTGACTCGCGGCTCTCACGCACGTGTTCTCCGTAGCCCTCTGCGCAAACACGTCTTTCGGCGCAGTCCTGAGGCGCAGAGAGGAGAAAATCGCACTTTTATTCCGCAAAACGCCGCCTCTAGCGCAGATACCGGGGGCCGCCATGTTCCCCTTCAACTTTCCCCCGAGGAGCGCAGAGACGGGAGCGGGCGACACCTGCTGAACCGGAGGAGCAAAGCAGCGACAGCAACAGGAACTGAACGCTCCTTTTTTTTTTTTTTTTTTTTTTAATTGCAGACATATAACAACAAGACAAAACAACCAATGTATATACAGTATAAGGTGCAGACTGGATTGTTGTTGTATCAATGCAAAGTCCAGATCACAGTTATGGCAGGGGTGAGATATGGAAAATATACATATACATTCACACACATAAACACACATTAACACACATAAACTCACATAAACAATATAAACACACATTAACACACATAAACACACATTAACACACATTAACACACATAAACACACATAAACTCACATTAACGCACATAAACACACATAAACTCACATAAACTCACATAAACATACTGCAACGTGGGGGTGGTTTGCAAATGAACATACAGGGGAGCAGAAGGAATGAAACCAAAACTAAACAACAGAATAACAAAACAAAACAGAATATCATATATTAAATAAAGCTATACTATATATATATATATTTTTTTTTATAGATATTGTAAGTTTTAACTGCTTTTTTGTTTTGGACCTGTTTTTTTGTCTGAAAGTATTGTTGGATTTCGTTATTATATTGATGAATATTTGGTTTACTTTGAGCCCATTTGGTTTTGTGTATGTGATATTTTGCCAGCATAATGAGAGTCTGAATGAAGAGTTGAAGATCTTTGGGGAAGGAGGGGCCGGTGAAGTAAAACAGGATGTCACTTTCCTGGAGGCTGATCGAGTGTTTGGTTTTGGATTGGATGAGTTGTTGTATGTGGGTCCAGATGTTCTTACTGTATGTGCAGTGGTAAAACATGAACTGAACGCTCCTGTAAAAGTGACTCTGTGAGCTTTAAGACATGTCAGTATATTGGTACCTCCTTAAAAACAGACGTGGACTTGTGTTTTGTTTCATTCACACGCTTGAGTAATCCTGCATCTGCAAGTCTGTCTACATCTTCAAAGCTCTAAATGCTCTGTACAGCTCTTTATCTTTGGCTCAGTAGAATTGAGTAATTCCAGGTTTGAAATGATCTAAATGATTCTAGAGAAGGTGTGTGGCAGGAGTCTCCAACCTGTAGCTTGGGAGTTGCCAGTAGTTCTCCACCCTCTTCCAAGTATCTTGCCAAGGGATTTCTGAATTCTATATATTGTGTGTATAAGTCCAATTTGATTAATCACCACTGTGAACCTATAATTTTGATGCCTAACATGGTGCACCGATAAATGGATAATGGTTTATGTTTTAATAGCATCTAACTCAGGGGTGGACAAGTCTTTTTTTCCATGGGGCCACATGAGAAACAGAAAATATTGTGGAGGCCAAAATGTTCAACACAGTTCTACATAAGATTTATTGTATTTCTTTATAAAAAGCAGTAAATCTCATTCTTTTGACGAGCTGTAAGACAAAAATGTCATTTAAAAAACACCGCTAAAATAAAAGCAATGCAGCTTTAGTCCATGCAGGAGGTCAAATGATAAAATAAGTTTATTTTGTAATTCCAAATGAACTTAAATGGGTCGGTGAGAGTGGAGCGGTCAGAGCCGTACGTGGCCCAGGAGCCGGACAATGCCCAAGTCTGATCTAACTGTTACAGATAAGACTGACTCTTATACTGACTCAGTTTCTTTGTGAAACAAGCTCTGCTGAAATGTGCAGCTCTCTGGCATTTTTATTTTGTAAAGGAGCTTCTGAAGAAAAAAGGTTGGAGACCCCTGGTGTATGGAGTTTAAAAACAGTGGAGCACTTCCTGTATATAGTGTCAGTGTAAATGTGCAGGTTTGTGTGTTAAACATGTGAATGAAACAAAACACGTCTTCAGGTGTGTTTGTGTCAAGGAAACAACATGAGAACAGATCAGAAAACAGTGTTATATGGAGCCTTTAAACCACGGGTGTCAAACATACGGCCCGGGGGCCAGAACCGGCCTCCAACAACTTTAATCTGACCCTCCGCTGATTTTCTACTAAAATATTTTAATTATATTTCAGGCTGTTCATAATATTATAATATTTTGTAAAAAAAAAAAAAAAAGAGTTCATCAATTAAAAAATATTTCTGTAATAGATTTGTGTTTCTCTGCACAAATATTTGAACTTATTGTTATTTTTGGGGTTTATATGACATGAGTTTTCTGATCCAGACACTTTGGGATCAAAGTCGGTTGGATACGACCCCCGGACCAAAATGAGTTTGACACTCCTGATTTAAACTGATCTAAATATCATGGAGAAAAACAAGGGACACCATGAAATTACAGTTCAGCTCTATGGAGAGACAAACCTGCCCACAGTACAAAGGCATGCTTTTCATATGTGCAACACAAAATATATTATTTCATAAATGAATGTTTAATGCCACAATGTGGAACATTCAGATAAAGAAATATAATCTCTATAATATAATCTCTATGCAGACAAGCAGTTGGTATACTCCCCTCCTCCAGCTATGCAGCCTCTGACCCTCTGACCCTCTGTTCCCCTGTTCCTCTGTTCCTCTGACCCTCTGACCCTCTGTTCCCCTGTTCCTCTGTTCCTCTGACCCTCTGTTCCTCTGTTCCTCTGACCCTCTGTTCCTCTGACCCTCTGTTCCTCTGACCCTCTGACCCTCTGTTCCTCTGACCTCTCCTCTGTTCCTCTGTTCCTCTGACCCTCTGTTCCTCTGTTCCTCTGACCCTCTGACCCTCTGTTCCTCTGACCTCTC